TTTAGTAGCAAAAGGTCTGAGGAAGTGAGGATATCTTGACCATAAAACCCAAAATAAAACATCTCACACATGCGGATGAATCGGAGTTTCTGGAGGTGATAAATTTTGAATCCAATTAAGGAAGAGTGAATTAAAAAAAGGAATGAATCAATGCAGAAGGATACAAGCTGAGAGTTGTTAGCATGCGCTATCATATAATTAAGTTAGATCATGGTTATTCTTTCTCCATTATTACACAAAAGGATGGGATGAAAATTGTAGATGATAATATTTTGGTATGTTCAGCTATGGATGCTAACCTGCTTAGGCACAAGGCATGGTTATGGCTATATTTGAACTACAAGAGTTTTGAAATCATTGAATTTTCAGGAGACTGGAGCCTAGATCAAGGAGCTTACTATGCTGGAAAGCATCACGAGTAACCCGGCGGAAGGTATTTTTATGATCCCTAAATTCACCATTGGATCTCTAAAATGCTATGTTAAGAATATTTCTAGTTTTCATTCATACTCAAAATTGAAGTAATCAATTTTTCTCTTCAATGCGCCTTGTTACCTGTTATGTTATGTTCTGTGCTGAACCAGCATCAGAAGAGGCATGATACAGAACTGTACTTTTGCTAGAGCATATATCACTGGCATCTTCTAGGAAGTGCAGTATCTCGTTCCTATATGTTTGGAGGTCTAGGCTTTTAGAGCTCCTGGGTAACTGTTAGTAATACCGCTTTGAATATTAGTTTATAGAAGTTCACTGACTTCACTTCTCTTAATAAATATGATGCTCAACTGTTTCGCCTTCATATCAGTTTGCCAGTGAACTAGAGTAAATAGGGAAAAGTTTTATCCTACTAAATGAGGTACATAGATGCTATTGTGCTTTGTCAGCGGCTAACTCTTCAAAGATATCATTTACCAAGAAATTTCCTTTGATAATTTTGAGTGTCCTTCTTGGCTTCCCTCTACCCTTGTTCATTAGGCTAAAGACTGTCTACTCAACTTTCATCACCGGATAAATTAAAAAAAAAAGTAGGTTGCACCGACTTCCTTGCAGTTTTTCTTTTCTTTTTCCTTTTTTTAAATTACGTTGATCTTTTTAATTTAAAAACTTATGGTTACCTTCCTTGAAAACAAAGAAGAAATTATGCAGACCTTCTGAGTTTTGTTAAAATTGCGTATTATCACTGGACTATTTTCAAAGGCCTGTGCAAGTTAAAAATGGAAGAGATGCATTTGTAATTCAAGGGGGTTTGTGCAATCTGCTTCCTGTTTCATGGAAGATTTGTGATTTGCTCTATTGTTTAGAAAGTTTCTGTAGGTTTTGGAATGTAGGGTTTAGGGTTTACTCATTCTGTTATTGTTTGGACACGCTGCTGGGCTGATAATCCATTTATGCATCCAAATTAAAAGTAGAAGTGCCAATTTAAATTGTTCTATTTATAATGTTTTTATTCTATCTTTTAATTTATGAGGATATTATTGCTGATGTATTGAAATGCATTTGCAGCTCTCACGTTTGAAAGTCAGAACCAGAAAACCTCATGCATTGCTGAATCTGGTTTCATGTGGAAAATGTCTCACTTCCAAATCGCCAAGGTAGTTTAGTTCTTAGGAAGCTTCAATTTCAAGGGTTCATTCACGAGAGCCATTTGTATTGTCTGTAATGTAATCTGTATTTAGGCTTTTTCCTGATGTTTGATAGGTTCAATTTTTACAGGTCAAGCCTCTTTCTTTATTTATTTAATCAAATAAGAGTTCGAGATTGTATATCTGACTAATGAAATGTAGGAAAGTAGTCAATTCCAATTCAGTGATATCATATGTTTTCCCTTCTTAGCAGCAATAAAATTTCTGGTGGTTTCAAATTCTGTTTCGAGTATATGTTTGAGATGAGAAATCAAGTGTAATAAATGGCTTTTTCATTGAAGCTGACTCTTGAAAATTTGGGCTTTAGTAAACTTTTTTATCTTTTACATTTAAAGTAATTTGTGCACCTCTTCCAAATAGTTTCTAAACTGGAAAATTGCATATTCAAAAGTAATTCCTATAAAAATGAAGCATATTTGATGCAAAATACAAAAGGGTGCACATGGGTTGGGTTACACCCTAGCACGAGGCTTAGCTTGATATGCATGCTTGGGCATTGGGTTGTTCGAAAGTTCGGATTGAGTTATGGCTTGATGCCTAAAAATTATTTATTATTTATTCAAAAGTAATAATTTTTTAAATTTTATATAATTAATAATTATTTATTATTTTTATATGATAAAAAGTAAAAAAAAAATTTCACATATTTAAAAAGATTAGAAAAATTGAAATCACAAATAACACACACATATATCTCTGAAAAATGGTAGAAAATCGCAATATTTGTAAGACAAATAATAGCAGAGCACATATCATATTTTACGCAAATACACATAACTCAACCCACTTTAATTACAAGTATTTATCAATGCCTAAGTACAGATGTTATGGTGTTTTATTTGTCATTACATCCTGAAATACACATTTGTGAGGAAATCAAAGATACAAAGTGTAAATCTGACCCAAACAATTTTTTTGGGTAGTAAAAGGATTAAAATCAATAAAAAAAAAAGGATTACAATCAAAATATCATTTAAAAACAACTAACAAGGATCAGATCTAATAAAAAGAGTTTGTCTTTCACAATGTGTCTAACCAAGCATTAAATGTGTGTTTTATGTATGCTCATAGACTCCAAAGACCTCTGTGTCTGAGTTAAATTTCTCATGCTCCTCTATGAGTTTTTGTTTATGGTCTGCCTTTAAAGTTCTTATTGCTTAGAGTTCCAAGTTTGGTGTAATTTAGATGAGCCATTGATTTTCTTAAGGGAGAATCTTACTATAGGCTCTAAAAAAGAAAAAACTGGACTGTAGATCCAAAAGCTTTTGTTGCAATTTTTTTTGAAGGTGAAAGTATAATTTTGCCCTTGTTAACTTAACGCACATAGGCATTTAGTTGATAATTCATGAATCTCATGTTATGCATTAATAGATATCATGTTGTATATTATCTGCATAACTTATACATTTCATAAAACCTATAATCAACTGGACTCACATGGATATTGTGTTAAAAATTTATGAACATTGTGTTGAAAATTTATAAATATCATGTTATGCACCCATGAATATTATATTGTATATACTCTGTGTGACTATTTTAATTAACCTACAGATCAATTGTATATGCATAAACATTGTGTTGAGTATTTATAAATACCGTATTGATAATTCATGAATATTATATTGTACTTCATGGATGAGAGTTTAGCACAAGTTCTAAATTTTTAAATCATATAAAGGCAAAATTGTACTTTTACTCTAAAAAGTTACAACAAAGGCCATTGGGCTTGTAGTGCATTATCATAATTTTCTAGGTCCAAAATGCAATTTTCTATCTTTTTAGGACATGCAGTGCGAGTCTTCCTTTTCTCGTAAACCTTTACATTACGTGCTCACAGTCACAGCTTCTTTGTTCTACATGTAAATATAGGTTAATACTTGATTTGCTTTGTGGTAAGATGTGTGTAACGCTTATTATAGTTAGAATTCCTAATGCATTATTAAGCTTGAGTAATAAGAGCATGTTTGGTTTCTGGTTTTATTTCTTATTTTTTTAAAAAAATTTGTAATATAATTGTTAAAATTATTTTTCAAAACAAAATAAAAAAATCCGTTTGCTCATGTTAATTTAAGAATTATTTTTATAATTAAAAATTAATCGATAATGATGGTTGCTGGTGACAACTTGTAATAATGATTGTTTAAGGTGACTATAATTTTTGATAAATCAAATATAATGTATTTTGAAAATAAAACAAATAGAATAACAACTTTAAGACGTTTTATTTTTTTGTTTTTATAAACAAAAAATGAAAAAAATTTTGAAAATAATTAAATTCAAAACATTTATTTAAATAAATACTTAAAATTTTTTATTTTTAAAAATAATTTTTTTAAGAACAAAAACCAAACAGGGCCGACAAGTTTTTGAAAAATATAATGACCATTTTATGTCATTATACTAGGTTTGATATTGTTAATTTGATTTCTGCTGTAATTTTCTTTTTTCAAAAATCATTAACATGGAATCTATAAATTAATATGTTAATGATAATAAAAGTTAAATGTTGGAACACCACACATACTGTTTTCAAGTCGAAGTAATTAATCTGAAATTTTACAAAAAAAAAAAAAAAAACTAACAACCCATCTTGATTACAGAATTCATCAAAAATTGAAAACCAAAACTAAACCAAAAAAAACAACATATATTATTAATTTCTTTCACCCTTCTTAAAAAAGCATACATGATTAATTAGGGTTAGGATTAGATCTCCATTGTTAGATTTCTTTTTGTTTTGTCATGCCTCTGATTATAAATTGAAAATGTTTTGAATTATCAGATGCTAAATTATCCAGGTTCTCTCTTCTCTAGCCCAAAAAAAAAAAAAGTTCTTCTCTTCTGCCTCGATTCACTTGGTTTATTTTGTTTTACTCGTATCATTCTACATCAAAATCACACTATTTATAAGTTAAAAAATAATAACAAATTTCAAATTTTATTAGAGTCGATAATTCAAACCAAGCCTAAATCTGCTGAAAAAAATAGTTAAAGCCAAATGTGACTATGAGTTTATTTTTAAAGGGTATAATATTTCAAACCTGATCTGAATAAACTAGCCCAAATTGAGCTTAGTTGTTGAAATTACTGGCTTTATCTGCATGTAAAGTCGATAATTTAGGCCAAATTCAATAGACTAGCCCAATCCTATTTGAAAAAGGTTAAAATCAAACTTAATTATATGAGTTTTTTTTAAAAGGTAAGATACTTTAAATTTAATTTAAATTAAGCTCGTCTCTAATTTTGCCCGACCCACCTGAATTATTGACTCTAGATTTTATACAAATTAAGCAATCCCATCCTCGTTATAAGTACCTGTCAAAACCAAAAACACGCATAATATGGTATTTATCATTACATGCTGGGGAAAATACAAACTGTATATTTATAAGAAGCAACAATGTAGAAGGTACATTGGATTACTGACAGAACACTCTTACATTACACGAAATGTCTCCATTACATTTTTCGTCCATTGCAAATTCAAATTGTTCAGATTAAATTTTAATGATACAGATTAATTGGTACTTTTAATTATCATATCTAAAATATCAAATTCCATCTAACGGTTCAGATTTGCGAAGTTCCCTCCACTGCTAGTCCAATCTGACCTGGCCAACGGTAAGCATCTTCTGTCTATCCTAAAGATCAAATGAAAATCCAAATTACCAAGACATTAGACTAATGGTATGAAGACCAAAATCAAATGAACCTTCTTCAAAGGCACCGTTAAATAAACCTTCCGGGATCACATCAATCTCTCTGGCTTCACATGTCTCGACATTATAACTGTAAAGAGATGCCTTCAACGGGGGATCAATTATTAATTTGAAAATCAGTTCTTGGTTTATCCACACACCAAAAGACTCGGAAAAATTGGTAGCTTCTTCAGCGTCATCATCCCTTGGATAATTATAATAATCATCCAAGATTCCCATCTGATGATACAGTCTCCATTTTCCAGAATCAGCATCAAATATGTGTATTTTATATCCTTTTGCACCCAGAAAGACAATGGAAGCCAGACGATTCTCAATCTTGAAGAACTGTGTACACCATTCGTGATGTTTTCGTGGAAGCAAATACTTTCTAAATGTTTCCTTGTCAACATCCATCACAATTACATGGTCCTGTGTGATCCAGTACAGATCATTGCCTCCACAGTAAATAGGGGTGCATCTAAACTCAAAATCACCGGGTTCCGAAGCAAATCTAGTCCAAGAAGTATCTTTCCCAAGTCTTAGAACATGCCAATGGCTATAACAAACTTCAGACTGAGTTTGGACAAGAGAAGCAAACAATTTGAATTTGCCAGTGTGAGGAACACGTACAATGGCGACTGGAGGGCAATCCAGATTAGAACTTAGTACTTTAGGGACATTTAGAGTCTGCATGGTAACAGGGTTTACAATATGAAGCTCTACTGTGTCTTTCTGGGAAAACAGTATCAATCCATCACAACTATTCAAATATCGCCCAGGGAATCGAAGTCTTAAAGCTGTGACGCCATACTCTCCATTGTCCTTGACCTCCAAGAAATGGGCACCATATGGATGCCTTGTGCTTTGCAGGAAAATTCCAGGTTTTGCACGAAGGAGGTGTGTCTGAATAAAATCAGACCTATGGATCATAGCAGCCCAAGATTTGCAAGTAAATCTTGCACTGTTATGGAGCCAATCAGCTGGAAGCCTAGTCAGGATATTAAACATGACATCTTCAGGGAGAGACCCTGAAGATTTATTGTTTTGGATCTTGCTCTGAGATTCTGAGCAACTGCTGCTGCCACCACCGCAATCCTTCCCCCCATCATCTTTCTTCTCCCTATCCATTTTCAGCCGTTTGTACAACTATAATAACAAAAATATTTGTTGTTTGAATTTGAGCTAAATTTCAAGATAGTTCCACTGTCACAAGAATAATTGCCTTGTCTATCTATAACACACAAACAGAGAGAGATTCTTGTTGACTTCAACTGATTATAACTTTATTTTGAAATTGAAGTTGCAAGGTGCCTTCCGGATTGGTAACAAACTGGCCCTACAGCTATTACCACTGAATATGAATTTAGATTATAAAGCAAAAAAGGTAGACAAAACCTGGAATATTGTAACTGGTTAATGGAGACAGTGCAAGCATCAGTAAAGACAAGGAGCCATCACGTATGAAGTGTTCTCTAGCCTCACATTCAATCTAATGCATTAGTGACTTTTCCTTTGTATTGCACTTCTAGAAACTAGCGTCTACAGTTTCATTCAAACTCCTAGTTTATAACTGTTGAAATGAAGATATTTCCCAAGGCTTTTGGGATATTGTTGAGAAAGAAGTTACTGTCCAATATATCCCCACTCCATGTGCGACAGGGCAAGAAATGTTGCCAAGGAAATAGAAATTAATCATTCAGCACTCCATCACATTCAGGCATATGCATCTTCAACCAAAAAAAAGTGGAACGCCTTGTATTTTTTTTCCCCCTTTTAAAAAGAAGCTATTGGAGACACAATATTAGCATATTTCGGCAACAGTATAAGGCGATAACTTGCTAGAAACTATTAAAGGAAGGCTAAAATATCAGCATCAATATCAAAACTTATAGGACGTCCTACTATTCATATACAATGAATAATACAACCCACTCCAGACTTTGTATGAAGAGCATAGCCCATAATCTAGTTCTTGTTCAAATGGCATCCAACTCTAAGGGAGGTTCCTTGGATACAGAACTGGTGACAGAGAGAAAATTTTGGAAGAAAAAAAATGTTATAAAAATAAAGAGAAGAAGAAGGTGGAAGGCAAAAAATCCCCCATCTTATTTTGCAAAAAGACAATGTTGTTGCTGAATGAAATATATAAGGATGGTAGACATCACTCTCAAACCTATCAGAAATTCAAACCTCTTCAGACAGATTTTTGATCTAAAAATATTACAAGGGTAATAACTGAAAATTGCCCAATTAACCAGATGAAGAAAATAACTATATTTTCCGAGATTCCACAACAAAAGTGGAGGGTACTTTGTGGAAATTTTATACACTATATGACAAGCGATTAAACGATTTTCAAATTAAACGAACAGTTAGATCGGGAAATTCAGTCAGTAGATACAAGAAATCGCAATATACCATGGTTAATATCGACAAAAGCATCCGAACGCAGGTAAAACGAGAAGTATACAATACAAAAACGAAAATCTAGGCAGAAATGCATATACAGATACTAACCGATGCAGGATCATTGAAAAGGGGGGAAAACAAAAATCAGAAATTCAACCGTAGTCCTGTGAATCAGTGAATAAACGAAACATTGAAGTTAACTTGAGAGAGTATTAAAAAAAAAAAAGGAAGTTAGTTTGAGAGACGATACAGAAAATTTAAACGAAAAAGGAACAAGCAAAAACCGGAGAACGAAATAGGAAAGGAGTGGAACCTTCTGATTTGTTACTGAGAATGCCTCCCTCCGAGAAGGGATCCTGAAATTTTGATTCCAAAGAATCGACAGCAGTACATAATTAGATTTTTTTTTTATAAAAAAAGATTTTTTTTTTTGAATTAATTTGGTCTCTACTACATCTTCCACAAGTTGGGGACTATTTTTAACATTTTTATTATTTTTTTAATTTATCACAGTAATCTTATTATTATTATTATTATTTTGTTACAAAGATATTAAAAACCCCAAAATCAAACCAGGCTGATTTGGTTTAGAGTACTGGGCTTTTACACTAGAACCTAAGACAACAATAAGCTCAAGAACATAACAACTAGGAGTAGAAAATTCTAAAAAGACCCGTGAACCCGTGATGGTGCTGCATCAAACATGAACGCACTTGTTTTGTTGATTATCTCATATTTGAGAAATCTCTGTTCCGTTATCCACATAATCCAACTTAATTTATCAACAGTCATCTGTCATACACTGCTACAAAAAAACATTTTTACTATCCTAATTTACATTCTATTTTACAAGTTAGATTTAAAAAGAATACAATCCACATCACCCAAGTAAAAAGAGGATGTGGATTGAAAAAAATTTATTTTAACAAAAAAATTTTAATAAGCCACATCTCCTTAATTCTTGAGGGGATGTGGCTTTATCAGAATTCAAGTCCCCCACTCATGAGGGATGTGGCTTCTTCAGAATCCACGTCCCCCATTAAGGAGAGGGACGTGGCTTGTGAAGAAGCCACGTCCCCCTTAGCTTCTAATAGAGCCAGCTAGCTTCTGCAGAAGCCACGTCCCCTTGTAGAGGGGGACGTAGCTTCATGGTAGAAGCCACGTCCCTCTCCTCTTTGGGGGACGTGGCTTCCTAAGAAGCCATGTCCCTCATTTTGTGTGGGATGTGGCTTCCCTAGAGAGGAGAGGGACGTAGATTCTCAAATCCATGTCCCTCTTTTCTTTGGGGGACGTGTATTCTCTTTTTTCACTCAATTTTTCAGCTCCGTGCCGGTTAAATTTTTTAAAAGAACACTCAAAGTCTGTTATGCCTGCCTTCATCTCCAATCAGAGTATTATCTTTTTGCCTTTTGGTCTTAGCCAAGCTTCTTCATCTAGTCTTTCTACTGCTTAGCCAAGCTTCTTGGTCTCATCTTTCTACTGCCCTCTCTGTGACTGTCTTTCTTAGCTTCTTTGCCTCTCGGTGCTTCTCAGCTTCTCGGCTAGCAAGAACAGTTGCTTTGCTTCTCGGTGCTTCTCATTTCTCACCAAAATTTTGATTAGTGTTTTTATTCATGGTACTTTCCTGAATTACAGTCATGTTGAGGAGTTAGTTCGATTACCACAATGCTTTTACTCAAAAGGCAAGAATAAAGTTTGAACTCGGGGGAATTGTGAACGATGAAAAACATGAATTTTTCAGCTAACCCACCGTTTTGTTCTGTTTTGTTAGAAAAGGAAGTCTGTAGGACAATCAGATTTTTTAGATTTCCTTCGTTTTCTTTTAAATCGTGAGTATCAATAGAATTTCATCCTTGTATAAATATTATTATTCAAGCTTAACTTGGACATCTTTATGCCTGCATTCATGTTGAACATGTTATATAAATGTTCTTTTCTTGTCTACTTGTTGAAAAGCTCGACATTGAGACCGCATTCTCTGAAATAGTCATTTGGGTTTAGACTATTGCATATAATCTATCTGATTGTGGTTTTATTGATGTGGTCAGTGGTTGTTAAAGACAAATCATATTCCTATCTCATGTATATATAATAGTTCTTATAAGCTGGGTGACTTGTAAACTCATAGCTTTGTTATTGAGTTGCTCTGTTGCATGCTTTCTTGGATTGTTGGGTAACATGGTTGGACTTCATATGATTTTAATCTTGTTTTAATAATGTCTAACAAGATTATTTAAAACTCAGCTCCTGGTTGAAAGTAAAATCAGGACCTAAAGATGCATAATGAGAATTAATTATTGCTTCTGAATAAACTTTCTATTTGGAGTTGCCCCAACGAAACACCAAGCAAAGGAAATAAAAAATATATACCAACAAGCTATGTATACGGTTAGATTAGACCCAACAATACCATCTAATCCAGTTAATTGATATGACTTGGAAGGACCAAGGTTTAAAAAAATAAATGTACAAAAATATCCTATCCCATAACTTTGTTGTAAATTTTGGAAACTTAATCATAAATCCTAGAATTTCAGTTGTAAAAATTGAAAAATTAGTTGTAGATACTAAATTCTGAAAACTCTATAAATTATAAAATTTATTTATAAATCCTGGTATCTCAGTTGTAAAAATCAGAAGATTAATTACAAATCAATTGCAGACTGGTAGAAGATTTAAAAATTTGAAAGCCTAGTTGAAAAAGTGAAATTCATAGCTCCAAATTGTGAAAGCTTCGTTGAAAAATACTGAAAAATACTGACCTTGATACAAGAAGATTTTAAGCTTATGAAAAATACTGAAAATTTTCCAATCTTTTGAACTCATTGTCTAGTACAAAAATTTAGTTGTTGGAACCCTAGGATTTATAAGGACTAGGGCAGACTTCAAGGTTTAAAAAGAACTTCTAAATATACTTATAAATTACCGTTCTTTTTCATTAGGAGCAAGATCTGAACCCACGCCTTTATAGAATATGAGATTGGTCCTTAGCTTGTGTGGACCAGCATTTATTGGCACTTGATGAGCTTCCTTTGGTCACTCATAAGTTGTCGAGTAAATAGTTCCAAATTCAGCTGGTAATTGAGATTCTTGAAGCCTGAAATTCTTAATACAATCTTATCTGTGAATCTTATATTTAGGAAAGTAAATTTTTGTGCTCATTTTCTGGTTAAATTTGCTCGGGACAAAGTAGGAGAGTATTTATCTTTTGATTAACCCTCACCTTTTTATTTAAAAGTGGTGTATGATAATAATGAGACTCCTATTTAATTATTTTTATAAATTTTGTTAACTCTTATTCTCAACTGTAATTCAAAAAAAATTGTGAGTATCAATATTAATATCAACCCATAAAAGTATAAGAAAAAAAAATCTTTACAAAATATTCTACAGGAGAAATTATGAATGATACCACTAATTTGTTAATTTTTGTGCAATGTACAAAGACCAAGTTTTAGTTAGTTACACAATCATAAAATTAGTGCAAATCAGACCCTTAATATTTTATATGCTACTCTCCAATACTCAATATTGTTTTCAATTTAATTTGTCCTATCTTCCTTAATTAATTAAAAAAATTACATCAAATAACTAACGCATCTATTAGACTATTACACAACTCTAGTCCAAATTAACCTCAATCTATGCATATTTTGTCATAATTCATGTTGTTTTATTAGAAGTTTATTTTACACACAAAGATTTCTATCTTCATGCAAGTAAGATAGTGAATTGTTAATTTGATAGACTTTGTGATAATTTATTAGGTAAAAAAAGAATGGATCATAGTTGGATAAATGCTAGTAGAATGACTGAGGAGTATGAGAATAGTGTGGACTAATTTCTTGAATTTGCTAGGAAAAATGGTCCTAGAAAAAATGGAAAGTATTGTTATCCTTGTATCAACTGTATGAATAAGATTGAATTGGGTATTGATGAAATAAAAGAACATTTAATTTGTGACGGGATAAATTTGAGGTATACAAGATGGGTATGGTATGGGGAGGCAGGAACAACTTTTATGTCCTAAAATGAGCGAATTGTGAATGACTGGGATGATAGAATAGAGGATATAATTCGTGATGTTGGGATGACGTTATTTGCACAATCACATGCATATGACAACTTGCGTAGTAGTGCAGAGAAACCCTTATACCCGAGGTGTACTAATTTTACGCTTTTGACAGCTGTATTGGGATTGGTGAATTTAAAGTCAAGAAGTGGGTGGACCGATTCGAGTTTTATGGAGTTACTTGAATTCTTGAGTAAAATGCTTCTAGCTCATAATTTACTTCCAAAACATATGTATGAGGCAAAAAAAATCCTGTGTCCAATGGGTATGGATTATAGGAGGATACATGCTTGTCCTAATGATTGCATACTATATAGAAATGAGTATGAAGGGCTACACAAGTGTCCTAAATGCGGGACTTTATGGTACAAAGTGAAGAAGACCGATGATGTTGATCATGGTGATGAGATCATAACTAAAGGGCCTCTTGTGAAGGTGATGTGGTATCTTTCAATAATACCACAGTTTCAACATTTTTTTGCTAATCCAATAGAAGCAAAGAATTTGAGATGGTATTTTGATGAGAAACTATCTGATGGGAAACTTTGACACCCGACTGATTCTCCTCAATGGAAGGCAATAGATCACATATTTCCTCAATTTGGAAACGATCCAAGAAACCTTCGGCTTGGACTCTGTATGAATGAAATCAACCCATATGGCAATCTTAGTAGCACACACAGTGCATGGCCAGTTTTGTTAGGTATTTACAACCTACCTCCTTAGTTGTGTATGAAGCGTAAGTACATAATGTTGTCTTTAATGATTTTAGAACTAAAACAACCAGGAAACAATATTGATATTTTCTTGGCCCCTTTGATTGAGGATTTAAAAATGCTATAGGAGGAAGTTGTTGATGTATTTGATGCTTATAAGCAAGAGCACTTCAAGTTGCGTGCCATGATTTTTACAACAATAAATGACTTTCCTGCATATGGAAACTTGTCAGGATATAATGTTAAAGGCCATAATGCATGTCTTATATGTGAAGAAGGCACACACTACCACCAACTTAAGCATGGAAGAAAAACAGTCTACCTTGGTCATCGAAGATTTCTTGATCGGTATCATCCTTACCGTAGGTTGAAGAAGGCTTTTAATAGCTCACAGGAGTATGAAATGGCTCCAAAGGCCTTAACTGAAGACCAAGTTTATCAGCATGTGGAAGGAATCAATGTCATTTTCGGTAAGAATAAAAGGAATGAAAGTGAGAAGAAT